AAAAAAGACCACAACACAAAGCCAGGGGTGCAGAACGCTAGGTTCGATCAGATAATCCGCTCGAACACGCGCGCGCGAGATTGAGCGGAAGAGAGCAGGGTTGCCGCGTGGCTGGTGGCGATTAGTAGTTGACGAGAAGATTCGTAAGTTTCTCTCTCCGTGTCGATGTGGGGGGAAGCGTCGGGGATGTTCCCGCAGATGGTAGCGTTAGGTGGTCAGTCGATGAGAGGGGAACTCCGGAGAGGCGGGAAGAGTGAGGGGTCGGGCGCCGAGGACGATGACAGTTACGTCGTGAAGAGGTGTGCGGCACGTCCGAGGCGTGTGTGGCCCATCGGGGAGAAGAGGATACCTGTGGCGTGGGTAGAGGAGGAGGTCCCGAGAGAAGCGCTCTCTTATAGGGATTCTGAATAGTTGTGCTGTTGACCATCATCAGGTAGGGCATAGCGCGGCGCACTTGCCGTCGCAGGGTTGACCGACAGAAGGGTCAAGGGATGAAATGCGCGCGTGGTTGGGAGGGATGGGTTCTGTCTAGATAGGCTGGTCAAATGCTGGGCGGAAGGCTCCACCACTCCGACGTGGGAAAGCTGCTGTCTGCAGTGTGAGAACAGATGGGGTACGGGTTAACAAGTTCTCTTTCTCTCCTGCTCTCTCGTATCCTGCTGTCTCTTCTTCTCTCTCTCATCTCTGTCTTTGCTCCGTGCTCTCGTCCGATTCTCCGATGTCTTTCTGCTCTCTCGTTCGTTTCTCGTTTCGTCTCTACTCGTCCGCTCTCCGGTCTTCTCATTTCTTCTCCTCTGTCTTACTTCTCTTTGTCTGCCGGCACGAAGGCCTGTCTGTCTGTCTCTCGTGCTGCGCTGTGTTAATTATGGCTTCTGTCTTCGTTTTGTCCGACTGTATGAGTCGTGTCTGCTCTGTCTGACACCATGTTTCTCGCTCTCATCGCTCTCTCTCAACTCTCTCTTTGCTTCTCTTCTTGCTCTCTCGTTTCTCTCTCCTAGCTCTAGGCTTCTCATCTCCTCCGCTCGCTCTCCGCCTGCTCAGGCTCTCGCGGCTTGGCTCTCTGACCGTTCTCTCTCATATTTCTACTACCGTCCATCACTCCTCCTCTACCTCTTCTCTTCTCTCTCTTTCTCATCTGCTCCTGTCTCTTTCTCTTGTTGTCCGTGACTGTCTTGTATTCTGTCTGTTTTTTTGGCTCTTCTCGATCTCCCTCTGATCTCTCCGGCGTGCGTAATCTCTCTCTTCTCCTCCTGCTCTCTCTCTTCTCTTTCTCTCGCTGTACTCCTCTTCTCTCTGCCGCAGCGGCGCTCTTTCTGTTTTTTGTTGCTTCGCCTCCGTTTTACACGACTGACAATCAATCATCAACGCAACGCAAACAAGTTAAGTGCAAGCTAACAATCCACCAATGCAACCTACATGAAAAATCAATCACCACATCAATGAACTCATATATCATTCTGGTGACCGGGGGAGGGGGGGAGGCTGCCCACTCCTCTCGAGGCTTAGCTTGTGTAGTGTCTATATACAGGCGTGGTCAGCTTACGTGAATGGAGAGTGTGGCACATCTCGTGACCCTGGTAATAAAGAAATAATGGGGAATAACGCGAAGGTCACTGGTAAGATGTGGTCGGGAGAAGTAGTGACCGACAGGGGGACATCAGTTAAGGGGTTAAGGAATGGGTAAGCGGGCCCGAGTTCTGCTGAACACGGAGGTTATAAACACACTGTGGCGGCCATCGCGGCGGAGAAATAACGCACTAAATTATATAAGAAGCGTACACGGTAGTTTCATAAAATACAATTATGAACGTCATATGAACATTTATGATAACGTATTTATTGATATGTTCTTAATCTTCACCTGATCTATTCCTGTACGAAATTGTGAGACAATACATAGTAATTATAATGAATATATAATATAATATATTCGCGTGTCTGCGTGGCAGACCGTCGTTTGAGAAAAACTGCGATGGTGCGCCAAATTAAGCAGGTGCTTCTGCTAAAGATGGGGCTTGTGACTAATCGTAAATATATTATGCAAAGAATTCACATAGAAAATTGATTCTAATATTTTGGACGCTTGATATATATGGTTATACACACCACACACACGCAACAACGCACGATACACTGAACACACGCACGACACAGCGACGCGCACACGTATATATAGCTCCTGGTTAATATATTTAGGTATTAGCAACAAGCCCGATCTTTTAGGCAGACGCGCCAGTTGAATTTTAGCAGCACATGCAGTTTTTCTCAAAAGCGACGAGGCTTGACCCGCCAACAGCGCGCGTGACGCCGACTTCCGCCCGCACGTTGACAATACCGAAGTCCTGACTGTCAGCGGAATGGGCTGTCCCATCAATGTATGACACTGTGGAAGTGGCAGAGGTCGAGGCGCAGGGGCGACGTGCTGGCACACGAGAAGTGCGCTAGGGATTGGGCATTCTTTCTCGTCACTAGGAACGGCAGGCTGTAAGACGGAGAGAGAGGAAATGAGAGACTGGTTGGGGAAAGAGAAGAGAGAGAGAGAGGAGAGGAGAGAGAGAGGAAAGAGAGAGAGAGAGAGAGGAGAGCGAGAGAAGAGAGAAGAAAGAAGGGGGGGACATGAGAAGGCGGCTGGGGAGGGAGAGAGGAGAGAGGAAAAAGAAGTTAGAAGAATAGATAGAGAGAGAGAGGGGGGTGGGATATAGAGAGTGAGTGAGAGAGAAAAAGAGATGGATTAAGAGTGGGGGCAGGGAGAAAGAAAGAAAGAGAGATAGAGTGGGCGAGAGAGAGAGAACGAGACAGACAGACAGAGAGAGAGAGAGAGAGAGAGAGAGAGAGAGAGAGAGAGAAAGAGAGAAAGAGAGAGAGCAAGAGAGAGAGAGAGAAGAAACAAAAGAGAGAGAGACAGACAGGGGAGAGGTAGAAAGAGTCAGAGACTACTTGGAGTGGAGTACAGCGGAGTGGTTGACTTGAAGACTGTACAGTCAATTCGCCCTCCCTCGCTGCTGCGTTTCTTTAAAAATCGTTGTGACATTTACGTAACCATGTAATATTTTAAAGCGTAAATAAATTTCAAAATCTAAATCTAAAATCTACTTACCACATTCTTCGAACTTCTCATCTGAACCGTCCACACACTGTGTGATGTTGTCGCAAACCGCCCAGTTAGGGATATACTCCCCGCTGCCACATTCCCAGTTACACCACGGGTTCATGATAGCTGCCAACAAGAAACCAACCATCTTTGAATATGATCCCAAGTATGCGTTGAATATGTTTTTATTACTGTGCAAATCCTGTATGTGTCTACATATTTGATCAGCTATATGTGTAAATGTATGTACTTGTGCAAATCTGGAATATTAAAAAAAAAAAAAAACCATACTTCAATCTCACACCTTTATCACACATAGATGACAATTAAACTAAAAATAAACTACAAAATAGTACTACTGTACGACCTTAAACGAAACGACAATTTCTCACTCTTACGTGTACACCTTAGGTAGACGTGAACAGCTATACCAGTTATAGTGTACGCGTTGGTAACATAACAACGAAACCATAACATCTCAATCTCATAGTCTACCTTAGATAGATGGCAACTACTACTAGTACTAGTTTGCGCATGTGTAGCATAACATTGAAACCACAATACCTCACTATACTCAAGTGTCTATCACTAACTACCGCCCTGGAACCACTAAGTTAATAATACGCTAATACATTAATTAAGTATAAGTTAGTATATAGATACCAGTGTGTGGAACGCACTATAACCAGAGAAGTTCTACCACAGATAAGATTTTCTACCGGGAGATGGCGCCTCTACTACAAGTTTGTGAGAGGTCTGTATAATATAATGTCTATAATACGGTATGAAAAGATGCTTTTTCTCACTGGATTGTATATGTAATGTTTGATAGGGAATGACCGTTATAAACTTTCACTCTCTCTCACTCTCTCTTTTACTATCTCTCTCTCTCTCTCTCTCTCTCTCTCTCTCTCTCTCTCTCTCTCTCTCTCTCTCTCTCTCTCTCTCTCTCTCTCTCTCTCTCTCTAGGTTCACTAGGCTGGCTAGTAGACTATGATTCTGTTTCTTGTTTGCTCCCATCCTTTTTCACGACTCAATCAATCAATCAACCAACCAACCAATTAATCAGCTAACCAATCAACCAATCAACCTACCAATCAATCAATCAACCACTCAATCACTCAATATATTCCTTCGCTAACCGCCGATCGCCCCCTCCCTCCCCTCCTTTCTGCGTGTCTATATACAGGTCGTGGTCAGCTTACGTGATGGAGAGTGTGGACATCTCGTGACCCTGGTAGTAAAGATACTGCAGTCCGTACAGGTCACTGTAGATGTGCGTCGGGAAGAAAGTGCCGACAGCCGGACATCCGTTAGGGTTCACGCGGCGGTCACGGCCCGCGTTCTTGCTGAACACGAGGTTCATAAACCACCTGTGGCGCCATCGCGCGGAGAAGAAACGCACTAATTATATAGAAGCGTACACGTAGTTTCCTAAAATACAATATGACGTCATACTGGACATTTATGATCGTATTTAATGATGTTCTAATCTTCCTGATTATTCATGTAGAATTGTAGATCATACCATATATATATATATATATATATATATTCGCGCGTGTCTGCGTGGCAGCACCGTCGTTTGAGAAAAACTGCGATGGTGCTGCCAAATTAAGCAGGTGGCTTCTGCTAAAGATGGGGCTTGTGCTAATACCTAAATATATTATCAAGAATTCACAATAGAAAATTGTTCTATTTTGGACTCTTGATATATATCTTATACACACACACACGCACACACGCACGCACTCACGCACGCACGCGCGCGCACACGTATATATACATCTGGTTAATATATTTAGGTATTAGCACAAGCCCCATCTTTAGCAGACGCCGCCAGTTGAATTTAGCAGCACCATCGCAGTTTTTCTCAAACGACGGGGCTGCCACGCAAACACGCGCGTTGACCGACTTCCGCCCGCGACGTTGACAATACCGGAAGTCCTGCTGCAGCCGAATGGCGCTGTCCCATCCAATGATGACCATCTGTGGAACGTCGGCTGGGTCGAGGCCGCCAGGGGGCGCCGTGCTCGCACACAGACAGTCGCTACGGGCATTGCATTCTTTCTCGTCACAAGGCAGAGCTGTAAGACGGAGAGAGAGGGACATGAGATGCTGGTTGGGGAGGGAGAGAGAGAGAGAGAGAGAGAGAGAGAGAGAGAGAGAGAGATAGTAGATTTTAGATTTTTAGTATTTTTGAAATGTATTTACCGGTTTAAAATGTATCTACATGGCGGGTTACATAATGTCACCAACGATTTTTAAGAAGAAAACGCAGCAAGGCGAGGGAGGCGAAATTGACTGATACAGTCTTCAAGTCAACCACTCGCTGTTTTACTCCACTCAAAGTGCTCTCTGACTCTTTGCTACCTCTTCCCCTGTCTTTGTTCTCTCTCTCTTTTTTTTTGCTCCTCTCTCTCTCTCTTGCTTCTCTGCTCTTCTCGTTGTCTCTCTTGCTCCTCTCTCTTCGCTCTCTCTCTCTCTCTCTCTCTCCTCTCTCTCTTCTTCTTCTCTCTCTCTCTTCTCTCTCTCTCTGTTGTCTGTTCTCGGTTCTCTTTCTCTCTCGCCCACTCTATCATCTCTTCTCTTTCTTTCTCGCCTGCCCCCCACTCTTAATCCATCTCTTTTTCTCGTCTCTCTCACTCGGTGTGATCTATTTTCCCACCTCCCCTCTCTCTCTTCTATCTATTCTTCTAACTTCCTTTTTCCTCTCTTTCTCTCTTTCCTTCCCCAGCCGCCTTCTCATGGTCCCCTCCCTTCTTTTCTTTCTCTTCTC